TAGACAACTTGGCAATCTCGACTCATCTATCATTCTGGATCCCAGATAGGAACTCCAGGGGGAGAGTTTGAAAAGTGAAAGGCAGATTCTGTGATGACATATGGAATTATTATCGAAGGATAGTCTAATCTTCTCACCATAATGCAAAATGCCTGTTTAACATCAATCCACGGATTGAAAAAAAAAAATTAAAGGATACTTTCAATATTATCACACTCGTGCTCATCTAAATTGTCTGTATACACTCCCTACAACCTCAGTCAATCTCTTCCTTGTCTGAAAAAAAAGACGATTATTGATTCCTCAAATATTTCCCGCAGGTCTCAGTGTGTATATTTCCAGGAATTCTGATTTTCAAATATCTCTCTCTCTCTCTCTCTCTCTCTCTCTCACACACATACACACACACACACATACACACACACACACACACGTATAGGAGCATTCATGGGGATGCAGGAACACACTGCTCTCACATGTTCATCTACAGCCAGAGCTACCTGCTTAGTTTATTCCAGAAACTCGATCCCTCCCCCCCCCCCCCCNATATATATATATATATATATATATATATGGTCATCAGTATAAAAGACAATGTAGGGAATATATTTTTTTCACTTCTAATATCTATCCTTTGGTGTACCAAAGATGAACTGAAGTTACAGGTCTACAATAAAGAAATTATAGGTGTGAGCAATAAAAGTTTTTTTGTGCATGAAACTATTCTGAAAGCTTCTGGTATCTGTCTATGGATGATTACATTTTAGCTCAAATGACTTATCCATCCAATTTACACTGGCCAGGTGGAGCTATCCAACAGCAATCCCGGTGCCATGCAAACCACTTTCTATTCCGGTAAAAAGATGGATCATATACATCAATAACTAGAGAGGTTTGACTAAAACTGATCATGGACACAAATCAAGCTATTTCACTGTAGAAAACTGATTTCTTAACCACAAACAATTGCAATCAACATGTCTAATGTTGTGTAAATCCCATGAAAACCATTCCAATGGGTCTAAAAAGTTGTGTGCATACCAGTCACATTTCTAGAGCTGATTCCACCTTTGCCTTGTCTAAATCCAGCACGCATTCTTCACACAATAATGCTTTCTCTCACCTTATACACTTGTAAAACGTCAAGGTGATATAAATAACTAGAAATGCAGGTGTTTAGGGTGGTAAAATACCTGTATAGTTCTAAGGTAAGACATGATTGGTATGGTAATTATCCAATAAATTCGAACAACATGAATTAATAATTTTATCCCCCCCCCCTTAAAAAAATGTTTTATAAGTAATACTTAAAAATGTCACTTAATTCTTTTTCTGTTCTTTTTTTCTCGGAAAGTTAATTGCTTTGTGTCAGAAAGTAAAAGTCTGACTGTGATAAATCTTGTAAAAACACAATATAAGCAAAACTGAATCATCTGAAAATTTTAAGTAATTACCGTATATATCCAAAGAGACACTACAGATATCTACCTACAGTCTATTTTAAAACATTACAGGTCATGTCTGGGTATATATTGTACAACTTTTTCGTGAACAGGCCCGTAGCCAGGGGGGGTTCGGGGGGTTCGAAAGAAAAGGTCCACTCTGGGTAAAATTTGATCTATGTACTTGAAGATTTTATGGTAAAAAGTCCACTTTTTCAGAAAACGAACCCCCCTATCTGAAATTGCTGGCTACGGGCCTGGTGAACCTATCAATTCTAAAATGAGAATGTATCTAACACCCCATTTCCATAGATTTTTAGATCGATCTATCCCTGTGGGGAGTCTCACTAGATTACTGTCAGCTTGGCAGGCTTAAGCATCTGTCCCACCTACTAAAAGCTGTAAGGGGGTAATTAACTATGGTGCCCGCTCGGCTGACTGCAATTTAGCGTGAACCCCCAGGGAGTTAGGTCGATCTAAAACTTAATCTTTAGATCGATCTAAATCTCTGGGAAAGCACCCAAGATAGACCTGTAACCCGAGGGGGGTTGGAACATTTCAACCTTTTTGCCAGAAAAAAAAAGATCCATTCTGGATCAAATTTGATCTAGCTAGGTACAAGATGGGCTCCTTTTCAAAGGTCCACCTCCCCTTTAAGATTGCTGTCTACAAACCTGTAAGAATACATATACTTTGAGAGTATGGCATTTAAAATGTGTGTGTGTGTGAGAGAGAGAGAGAGAGAGAGAGAGAGAGAGAGAGAGAGAATATACAAATACATGGGGTAAAGACCATCACTAACAGTGAGAAAAAAAGAAAGAGAGAAGGGATAGAAAACATGGAGAGAGAAAAAAAGCACAAAGATACTGCAAAATTTTATCTAGGACAGCTCCCAAGACATGCCAGTGTTTTCAGGAACAACAAATAACCCTGGTGCATTCCTTAATGTTTACTCTGCCGTTATTACCTGCAGGGAAGCGCCATACTGCTTGTGCCATAAAAACCAACAAAACTGACGATTTGCCAAAGCAAAAACCAACATGCTTTGATGAGTACAACATTTAGAAGATAAGGCATGTACTGAAAAGAAGGCACAGAGCTTTTTTTTTTAATTTGTTTGTGTGTATACACAGGTGTAGTACAAATGCACCACAAATGAGTTTTACTTCATCTTTCATTCTCAGGGGCGGATTCAGAGTTATTTCCTGACAGTCGTCCAAATTATCTTTGTTGATCCCTTCTTCATTTTTGACCGTCTTCCGACAGAAAAAATTAGATACCCGCCAATGTAAACTTGAAAATCTGACCGTCTTCCGGAAGACCCAGAAGACGCCCTAAATCCGCCCCTGATTCTATTCTTTTTTAACTTCCTTACATGGTAGCATGCTCCACGCCTACCCCCACCCCACACATTTAAATACACACACAAACACACATATGCACACTGATAAACTTTCACCTCAAATAACTGGTCATAAACACACATCCTAGTATCTTATCACTTTCACTTTCACTTTCTCACTGTTCATGAAATGAAAGAAGGTGTTGCAGCTTTTGTGCACATATTAAAAAAAATTAAAGAATCTATATGTATAAGTGTCAGTTCAGGGTAAACACTATTTTTCAATAAATTTGAGCAAAAAACCATAAATCATCATTCCCAATAGAACTTGTCTTGTTCATTATAAATATGTTGGTCTCTTTATTCTGTGCTCATGTCTGCTGAGCCATCATCCTATCTCCTAAAATACTAAAAAGAAAAACTGAAAATTTTACTATTAAGTGGGTACAAGGTAGCGGTTTCATTCTTTGTGACCAAAAAAAAATATGAATCTTGAAATAAAATATTTTGGCATTTGACACTGTTCATGTTTGAAATTTGTGGGTAAATTACCATAACAATACATGTTAAGAGTAGCAAGACTTCACAATAGGGTGCTGTACCAATGCTCACACAACTTTCACTAATTTGTCATTTGGCACACTATATAGTCAGAATTTGGCCCATTTGCAATTGGATTTTGACAGAGGAAAGATCATTCATCAGTTTAAGCTCCTTTCATATTAACAGTGATTTATAAATTGACTGCCATAGCATCAGACCATGGAACTGCCTCTGAGGCACAAAGAACACAAAGAAGATGAATCACATACCAAACATCAGCTGTGTGATTTCCAAAATGACTCCACTTGTAAAATTTGGATAAATATTTACTGCAATCAATATTTTTGCTGCTGCAGATTTCCTTATACTATCTAAGGTGCACATGTATGGGGATGTTGTTTGACTTTTGTTCTCTTGCACTGGGTATATATGTATTTTGAGGAGACAGAAAAAGGAAGGGAACGGGCAGCACATTGCCTTCCCCCTTTAGATCCACCATTCAGTAACTAAGTATGTAACACTGCTGATGAAATTCTCTAAGACATTATATATCATTTTGTTAAAATAGAATGTCATTATTTAAAACAGTTTGTGATTAACTGCCATCAACAAAGGGGGAGAGACAGTACATGGTCTTCTCCCTTGGATCCACCATTGAGTACCTAGGTGTGCAATACAGCTGATGAAATTCTTTAAAGTATTAGATATCATTGACATTTTGTCATATTTAAAACTGTTTGTTGTTAAATGGCATCAACAAAACATGTGCCCAACTTAATACAGCATTAATGTGCTTGTTAACAGGCTTATCTCATTTATCTGCCCTCAATGCCCTGCCTCAGGTGATGTGACTATCTCTTGGCATTGTTACATCACAGGCACTCCGAAACAGCCAGTGAAACTGACCACTGCCTGCTGACCAAAACAAACACATTCCATCCAGGGGTCATTCTTAAACAATGTAAGAGAGAGAGAGAGAGAGAGAGAGAGAGAGAGAGAGAGAGAGAGAGAGAGAGTACCTTAAAATGAATTCAGTTTAAGATATGCTAGTATAATATATATCTAGTATAGCTAGTATATACATGTACTGGGGGTATCTAGCAAAAGTGTACTGGGGGTTGTGACAGAAGATGGACTCATCTGATCATCTCTCTTGTCAATATATTACTATTCACCAACTCAGGCATCAAGCATATGGGCTTAACTGTGACTACAACTACCTTCCTCCACCCCACATTGACGAGAATTAAGAAAAAATTTAAAATAAACAAACATTTGTACTGCAAACATTGTACTCTATATGTATGTCATACACTATAAGCACACTCAATATCCTTGCATCTTACCACAGTAAGGTAAGTGCACACTGCACTAAATAAAAACACGGAAAGGTGTTAGTCAGTGTGGGTAAGTTACAAGGGATGGGTGATCACATAGTGGGAGGGGTCGGACACTTATTATTTAATTCTGATTACCATATTAGTGTCACTCATTATATACCTGTGAGATCTGTTTTGATCTCCATTAATTGTCTTAATTGTTAAGATTGGTCATAATATATATTAGGTATTTATATAGGCTAAAATGATATATACACTCACAAAAAATACAGCGGCCGAAATAAGGATTTAGCAAAATGTGAGGGTCGCGTCGAAGAAACACACTGCACTTACCATACATGTGCTTTCTCGAACAGCTTGTGCTATTGTCTCTCGCATTTGGGCCGCCATGCCCGGCTTGCTTAGCCCTCTAGTAAACTTCCTCTCAGACATCTTCGGTTCTATTTTCTGAACAAAACGTATATATTCCACTTTGGCTACCGCCGTATTCTATCTTGCCATCTTGATTTTCCACATGTACTACAGAGCCATCTATAGCAATGTAATTTCCGGTATCGCCACCTATCGTCCGATCGGCCTTGTAGCCTGTGGTGATTTACGGGGATCATGTAAGTATGATATTTATCGCGGGATTCCTTAATAATCTGAAAATTGGAAACACAAAGTATCTTAAGGCCAACATTAAGCATCCTGGCCATATTCTAGTATAAACACGCATGTACAACTTCTTGAAAAATCTGTACTTTTTTACCGGCATTTTGGGTTCAAACAAAAATGGCCGCGCAGTCGTTTATTCATTTTCTAAGTCCAAATATGCAAAAAGCTAAGTAAGAAAACCTAACGTAACCCACTCTTTGTGAAAGTTGTCCTTGAGTGGAGTAAAATCCGGTTGCACCGCAAACACAATGGCAAGTGGTGGAATTGTTTTTTAATGTACGGAGCATAGCGAATCACGTGGTCAGTTTTACATATACCATGCGGCTTCAGGTGTTAAATGAAGCATGCCTTATTGCTTTCGTTCCGAAATCATCCCAGCGAATAGAATTTTTTCTTGAACGTACATGGCATTTTTATAGATCGAGATTGAAAAAAACTCACGAAATGCTTTGAATGTCAGTTGGAATACTCTGGGTGGGTTGGGATGGGTTTGAGAATTGTTTGGGTGGTTTAAAATGTTCTTCTAGTTGAATGTCTTGACAAGGAATTAAGTGCATTGTTAAAGCAATATATCATTGTTATCTTAACATTAGATAAAATTCGGGTTATGTTAAGGTTATATTGCTGCTAGGTGGAGTTGACAGCTTTTCTCCTTTAAATATTTTAAAAAGGTTTTCTACTAAATTGATTTTAAGCTATTTTAAAAGTATTATTGATATTTTGAAAAATTTTGAAATCTGTTTTATGAGTGGTTTGTGTCCTCAGCTTAAAGTTCTAATGGTTTGAATATTTGAAAAAAATCAGATCATTTTCAATTATGAAAGTATTTTTTCTCTGAGCAAAAAGGGAAAGAAACATGAAACAGATTCCACCTATCTATCCTCCAAATTTTCACTGTGGTCAAAAAGAAAATGTAATGAATCCAGCAAAATTATGATCTTTAAAAAGGCATTTCACTTATGAGGTTTTGACTGTATTAATTCCAGTGAAAGTTATTCGCACTCAGGAAAGGTGAGAATTTGTCAACAGCAACAATTCAATCTTGCTTTCTAATTGAAGACTTGTGTTTTTTCTCTGATTCTTCGAATACCAGAATTGTACTGAGCCCCGAAAACAACTTGATACCTGTCAAACTGATTGCGATTCTACCTGATACTGTGTTGAAGTGAATATGGATTCTGATCAACAGAAAAAGATCTACGTGGGCGGTATAAGCTATCAGACTGATGAGTCTACATTGCATTCTGAATTTTCGCAGTTTGGTGAAATAGAAGAAGGTATTTTTGGGGTAGCAGTTAAGATATTATGTTATGTAAAGAAAGTAAAGTTGTTTTGTTGGCAAAAGCCAATCTTTGGGAGGGGGTTGTAACTTTGTTTGGATGGCTTCAGAGAGTTTAAAGTTTTGTCACTAAAGATTGAATTTAAAATTTTGATTTTTGGGGGTAATTTTGGAATCGAGACTTTGTATTTCTGATGTGTATGTATGATTAGATGCGATTTGATTTTAGAATTATTTATTTGAAATTGATCATCCATAACTACAAGTCAGAGGGACAAAAGTGTGATTTTTCAGTGACATTTCTACTATAAACATTATCAGTATTGAATTTTCTGAGATAAAAAGTGTTTTGTCATCTATCAGCAGTGTTGTTCCATGCAAAATATAAGGAATTTCATTCTCTAAACGTTTTGAATTAGGCAAAATAAAAGCATTGCATTCTCTGAGAGTATTGTATTTGAAAGAATTGTATTGAACAAGATTTTGATATCTGCATATAAGGAGATGAAAAAAAAAACGAATTTGAAATTGTAAAGTCACTGCCTCAGAACCCCAGCTTGTGCTTACTGGATTTGTGAAATGTGTTTTGCATAAATTATTCTTGTTTTACAGAAGAGTGTTTTCAGCAGTGGGGGTTTCAAAAGTGGAAGTGAGAAAAAAGTATACTGAGTCGAACAATATGCTGTCTTAGTATTTTTAATGCTTTCTTTTTAATTCTGTGTGAAGTTTGTCACTGTTAATTTAGTTTAGAAAGTGTAACTAACTTTTTTCTGTACACTGCAAAAAAAATTTGTTCAAATGCTTATACAGGGTTTTAAAGGACAGTGGGAAGATTTTGAATGTGAAAGAAAAAAAAGATCAGCCTCTGACATATAGATTGGCATTTGTATAACATTTGTGAAAAAAAATAGTTAACTAATATTTTTTATGATTATTAGTCCATGACATGAAAAATATTTTTCATAGCTCTTTATTTCAATAAAAATGTGCATAAATGCAGAAATCCTTGAAAAGAGAAAGAAAATAGATTATTCATTGTACTGTTATTTTTATAGAAAACGGTGCAAGCTGGAAATTTTTTTATGTATTTTTTTGCATTTTATGTTCCAGAAAAAGGGACAGTTTAAGTCCAAGGGCAGTAGTCTTAAAACATGCAGGTTTTAAAGTACAAATTTTTAAGTCTTATTGAGTATTTATTTTCACTGCCTCCAATATACAGGACTGCTGTAAATGAACATTAGTCAAAGAGCTGTCCCCGACTATCGAGTTTCTTACCTGAAACCCTTGACCAGNATTTCTCAATAAATTTCAGCAAAAACCATAAATCATTATTCCCAATAGAACTTGTCTTGTTCATTATAAATATGTTGGTCTCTTTATTCTGTGCTCATGTCTGCTGAGCCATCATCCTATCTCCTAAAATACTAAAAAGAAAAACTGAAAATTTTACTATTAAGTGGGTACAAGGTAGAAGGTTTCATTCTTTGTGACCAAAACAAATAATATGAATCTTGAAATAAAATATTTTGGCATTTGACACTGTTCATGTTTGAAATTTGTGGGTAAATTACCATAACAATACATGTTAAGAGTAGCAAGACTTCACAATAGGGTGCTGTACCAATGCTCACACAACTTTCACTAATTTGTCATTTGGCACACTATATAGTCAGAATTTGGCCCATTTGCAATTGGATTTTGACAGAGGAAAGATCATTCATCAGTTTAAGCTCCTTTCATATTAACAGTGATTTATAAATTGACTGCCATAGCATCAGACCGTGGAACTGCCTCTGAGGCACAAAGAACACAAAGAAGATGAATCACATACCAAACATCAGCTGTGTGATTTCCGAAATGACTCCACTTGTAAAATTTGGATAAATATTTACTACAATCAATATTTTTGCTGTTGCAGATTTCCTTATACTATCTAAGGTGCACATATATGGGGTTGTTGTTTGACCTTTGTTCTCTTGCACTGGGTATATTTTGAGGAGACAGAAAAAGGAAGGGAGGGGGCAGCATGTTGCCTCCCCCCCCCCCTTTAGATCCACCATTCAGTAACTAAGTATGTAACACTGCCTGATGAAATTCTTTAAGGCATTATATATCATTTTGTTAAAATAGAATGTCATTATTTAAAACAGTTTGTCATTAACTGCCATCAACAAAAGGGGGAGGGCCAGTGCATGGTCTTCTCCCTTGGATCCACCATTGAGTACCTAGGTATGCAATACAGCTGATGAAATTCTTTTAAGTATTAGATATCATTGACATTTTGTCATATTTAAAACTGTTTGATGTTAAATGGCATCAACAAAACATGTGCCCAACTTAATACAGCATTAATGTGCTTGTTAACAGGCTTATCTCATTTGTCTGCCCTCAATGCCCTGCCTCAGGTGATGTGATTATCTCTTGGCATTGTTACATCACAGGCATCACTCCGAAACAGCCAGTGAAACTGACCACTGCCTGCTGACCAAAACAAACACATTCCATCCAGGGGTCATTCTTAAACAATGTAATAGAGAGAGAGAGAGAGTACCTTAAAATGAATTCAGTTTAAGATATGCTAGTATACTATATATATCTAGTATAGCTAGTATATACATGTACTGGGGGTATCTAGCAAAAGTGTACTGGGGGTTGTGACAGAAGATGGACTCATCTGATCATCTCTCTTGTCAATATATTACTATTCACCAACTCAGGCGTCAAGCATATGGGCTTAACTGTGACTACAACTACCTTCCCCCACCCCACATTGACGAGAATTAAGAAAAAATTTAAAATAAACAAACATTTGTACTGCAAACATTGTACTCTATATGTATGTCATACACTATAAGCACACTCAATATCCTTGCATCTTACCACAGTAAGGTAAGTGCACACTGCACTAAATAAAAACACGGAAAGGTGTTAGTCAGTGTGGGTAAGTTACAAGGGATGGGTGATCACATAGTGGGAGGGGTCGGACACTTATTATTTAATTCTGATTACCATATTAGTGTCACTCATTATATACCTGTGAGATCTGTTTTGATCTCCATTAATTGTCTTAATTGTTAAGATTGGTTATAATATATATTAGGTATTTATATAGGCTAAAATGATATATACACTCACAAAAAATACAGCGGCCGAAATAAGGATTTAGCAAAATGTGAGGGTCGCGTCGAAGAAACACACTGCACTTACCATACATGTGCTTTCTCGAACAGCTTGTGCTATTGTCTCTCGCATTTGGGCCGCCATGCCCGGCTTGCTTAGCCCTCTAGTAAACTTCCTCTCAGACATCTTCGGTTCTATTTTCTGAACAAAACGTATATATTCCACTTTGGCTACCGCCGTATTCTATCTTGCCATCTTGATTTTCCACATGTACTACAGAGCCATCTATAGCAATGTAATTTCCGGTATCGCCACCTATCGTCCGATCGGCCTTGTAGCCTGTGGTGATTTACGGGGATCATGTAAGTATGATATTTATCGCGGGATTCCTTAATAATCTGAAAATTGGAAACACAAAGTATCTTAAGGCCAACATTAAGCATCCTGGCCATATTCTAGTATAAACACGCATGTACAACTTCTTGAAAAATCTGTACTTTTTTACCGGCATTTTGGGTTCAAACAAAAATGGCCGCAGTCGTTTATTCATTTTCTAAGTCCAAATATGCAAAAAGCTAAGTAAGAAAACCTAACGTAACCCACTCTTTGTGAAAGTTGTCCTTGAGTGGAGTAGAATCCAGTTGCACCGCAAACACAATGGCAAGTGGTGGAATTGTTTTTTAATGTACGGAGCATAGCGAATCACGTGGTCAGTTTTACATATACCATGCGGCTTCAGGTGTTAAATGAAGCATGCCTTATTGCTTTCGTTCCGAAATCATCCCAGCGAATAGAATTTTTTCTTGAACGTACATGGCATTTTTATAGATCGAGATTGAAAAAAACTCACGAAATGCTTTGAATGTCAGTTGGAATACTCTGGGTGGGTTGGGAGGGGTTGGGTGGTTTAAAATGTTCTTCTAGTTGAATGTATTGACAAGGAACTAAGTGCATTGTTAAAGCAATATATCATTGTTATCTTAACATTAGATAAAATTCGGGTTATGTTAAGGTTATATTGCTGCTAGGTGGAGTTGACAGCTTTTCTCCTTTAAATATTTTAAAAAGGTTTTCTACTAAATTGATTTTAAGCTATTTTAAAAGTATTATTGATATTTTGAAAAAATTTGAAATCTGTTTTATGAGTGGTTTGTGTCCTCAGCTTAAAGTTCTAATGTTTTGAATATTTGAAAAAAATCAGATCATTTTCAATTATGAAAGTATTTTTTCTCTCAGCAAAAAGGGAAAGAAACATGAAACAGATTCCACCTATCTATCCTCCAAATTTTCACTGTGGTCAAAAAGAAAATGTAATGAATCCAGCAAAATTATGATCTTTAAAAAGGCATTTCACTTATGAGGTTTTGACTGTATTAATTCCAGTGAAAGTTATTCGCACCCAGGAAAGGTGAGAATTTGTCAACAGCAACAATTCAATCTTGCTTTCTAATTGAAGACTTGTGTTTTTTCTCTGATTCTTCGAATACCAGAATTGTACTGAGCCCCGAAAACAACTTGATACCTGTCAAACTGATTGCGATTCTACCTGATACTGTGTTGAAGTGAATATGGATTCTGATCAACAGAAAAAGATCTACGTGGGCGGTATAAGCTATCAGACCGATGAGTCTACATTGCATTCTGAATTTTCGCAGTTTGGTGAAATAGAAGAAGGTATTTTTGGGGTAGCAGTTAAGATATTATGTTATGTAAAGAAAGTAAAGTTGTTTTGTTGGCAAAAGCCAATCTTTGGGAGGGGGTTGTAACTTTGTTTGGATGGCTTCAGAGAGTTTAAAGTTTTGTCACTAAAGATTGAATTTAAAATTTTGATTTTTGGGGGTAATTTTGGAATCGAGACTTAGTATTTCTGATGTTTTAGGATATATGTATGATTAGATGCGATTTTATTTTAGAATTATTTATTTGAAATTGATCATCCATAACTACAAGTCAGAGGGACAAAAGTGTGATTTTTCAGTGACATTTCTACTATAAACATTATCAGTATTGAATTTTCTGAGATAAAAAGTGTTTTGTCATCTATCAGCAGTGTTGTACCATGCAAAATATAAGGAATTTCATTCTCTAAATGTTTTGAATTAGGCAAAATAAAAGCATTGCATTCTCTGAGAGTATTGTATTTGAAACAATTGTATTGAACAAGATTTTGATATCTGCATATAAGGAGATGAAAAAAAAAACGAATTTGAAATTGTAAAGTCACTGCCTCAGAACCCCAGCTTGTGCTTACTGGATTTGTGAAATGTGTTTTGCATAAATTATTCTTGTTTTACAGAAGAGTGTTTTCAGCAGTGGGGGTTTCAAAAGTGGAAGTGAGAAAAAAGTATACCGAGTCGAACAATATGCTGTTTTAGTATTTTTAATGCTTTCTTTTTAATTCTGTGTGAAGTTTGTCACTGTTAATTTAGTTTAGAAAGTGTAACTAACTTTTTTCTGTACACTGCAAAAAAATCTTGTTCAAATGCTTATACAGGGTTTTAAAGGACAGTGGGAAGATTTTGAATGTGAAAGAAAAAAAAATCAGCCTCTGACATATAGATTGGCATTTGTATAACATTTGTGAAAAAAAATAGTTAACTAATATTTTTTTTACGATTATTAGTCCATGACATGAAAAATATTTTTCATAGCTCTTTATTTCAATAAAAATGTGCATAAATGCAGAAATCCTTGAAAAGAGAAAGAAAATAGATTATTTATTGTACTGTGATTTTTATAGAAAACGGTGCAAGCTGGAAATTTCTCTATGTATTTTTTTGCATTTTATGTTCCAGAAAAAGGGACAGTTTAAGTCCATGGGCAGTAGTCTTAAAACATGCAGGTTTTAAAGTACAAATTTTTAAGCCTTATTGAGTATTTATTTTCACTGCCTCCAATATACAGGACAGCTGTAAATGAACATTAGTCAAAGAGCTGTCCCAGACTATTGAGTTTCTTACCTGAAACCCTTGACCGGCTGAATTTCTAACCCAGTGCACATTTTACTTTTTTAATCCTCACATTTTCTTCGAGGCTGGTAGAATCTCAAGCTGAATTTTATGTTTTGTGATAGATAGATATTTATGTAGGGTTGGTGTTTTTGTCTTCACTTGGTTTGGTAACCGGGCTTCCACAGACGGTGACTGGAAGGAAAAAACCAACTCCCCCGTACCTACCAAGTGGATAACCGTTTGTATGTATGACCAGTATTTGCAATCTCTCACGCATGTGTTGGTGTTGTTCTGTTTGCAGTCGTTATCGTGAAGGACAGAGACACTCAGCAGTCCAAGGGGTTCAGTTTCATCACTTTCCAAGATGATGCATCGTGTCAGAGTGCCATTGACGCCAAGAATGGAACGGTGAGTCTGATTGGTCATTGATACAAGAAACAACAGCGTGCTAGTAAACACAGAAATCCCCTGTTACTTTTACGGAAAAAAAATTAATTATTTTATTTTTTTTTATGAACGTGTATTTATTGTTTATCTCTTTTGATTTACATTTTTGAAATTGTTGTATAAAGGAAGAATGTCTGCAAAAGGGCAATAAAGTGATCACTCCTTAATGTATAAATTATTTTTATTTTAAGTGTACTTAAAAACAAGTGACAGTTAATAGTAGAAATCAGATTATATGTTTGTGGTAGGACTTGATTTTTTATGTACAGACACAGATGTGTCTGTACATATAGCCATCATCTGCGTCTGTCGTCGCCGTCGCCGTCGCCGTGCACTTTTACCAATAACACGATAAGTGGAAAACCATTTTACCTTTT